ACCTTCAGATGATAGAAGACAGAAATACAGAAAGGGCATAGGGAGGAGAAGAAAAGAGGGATATGAAGACAGAGGAATTAAAAGAGACTTAAGGTGTCTTTGAGGAGTGCTTGGGGTCAGGAGGAGCTTTCAGGAAGGGTTTGGCAGAGTTTGAGGGCTGCTGGCAGCTTTAAGACAGCATCTGGTGGGTCTGGGACAGGCTTTAGGGATATCTGCAATCTCTAAGGCCATTGCAGATCCACTGCAAGTAGCAGCAAAAACAACAGTATAGTGTGAGGTCTGCCCTAGTCATCATCAGTATCCAGCGATGCTGATGGCTGCAGTCTCTGTTGTGGCATAGCTTCATCAGCCAGAGCTTTCTGGAGGAGATACAGTAAAGTCCATCATGCCCATAGGATCTGTAACACTGACAGCCAGGCACAGCAGCAGAGGTACTGGCACCCATATGCACACAGCACACCAACAAGGGCAGCCCCCCACCAACTCTAGCCCCCTATTCCCTGCTTCACTCCCCCCTGCAAGGCTTTTTAAGACACCCTCTCAAACTCTCCCTTCAAAACCCCCTAATCACTCAACCCTACCCTAGTGTGAACACTGAGCCTTAAAAGCCATGGTACTTGCAAAATTACCTGCTCCTCTTCTTCATGAGCACTGAGGCTGGAGTAAAGCAGCAGGCACTCCGGATGCCCTCAAAGCCTGGGGCAAGTTTCTCATGCCTGTGGTAGCTAGGGGCCCTGGCTGTGACAGTAGCAACTCCAGAATCACAGAAGGGCTGAGGTGGCAGGTGATCTCTGGATGTCATCTGATCCAATCCTCCCTGCTCAAGCAGGGCCACCTACAGCCAGCTGCCCAAGACCATATCCAGTTGGCTTTGGAATATCGACATGGTGGCACACTCTACAACTTCCCTGGCCAACCAACCCATGCCAGTGCTCCATCATCCAAACCATGAAAAGTGTTTCCTGATCCTTCAGTTTATGCCCATCACCTTGTCCCGTCACTAGGCACCACTGGAAAATGTCTGGCTGCATTTTCTTCACACCCTCCTTTGAAGTGTTTATAGACATTGATAAGATATTCTCCCTACCCTCCCAACCTGCACCTTCTTCTCTCCAGGCTGAACAGTGCCAGCACTCTCAGGCTTTTATGCAAGAGATACTTTATCCCTTCATCACTTTAGTGGCCCTTCACTGGACTCTCTCCAGTATGTTTGTGCCTGTCTTGCACTGGGGAGCCCAAAAGACCTCCTGCACTACTGACAAGAGCCCAGATACCCTTCCCAGCACAAAACTCCAGATTCCCTGAAACAGGGAAAAAGCCCCAGATGACCTGAGTAAGCAAATGGCCCCCTGAAGAATGCACCACAGATGCCAGCATACTTTCATAGTCCTTGGAAAGGCCACCAAGACAAAAAAATATGGCTCCACAGACCCCATGATAGCTCTGGGAGCACTTTCGAGAATTGCCAGAAGCAATGGGTATAGCCCTAAAGAACACTCCTGAAGAGATACAGCATTGATGGGGCCACCTCCCAGTATCTAAAGCACTAGGAACATCCACCTCCTACAGATCCCAGTAGTGGCACTGAAGTGCTTACCCTAAATGAGCTATAGTACAGTATTCATCAAGTAGCCCTAACAGGATTATCTTGTACTGATAAAACAGGTACTGTCCATCCTGTGATGTTTCTGACACCTGATTGTTCCAAGATGTGTAAATAAAAGGTAGGCAAACCTGGCTTCACTATTTTCATGCTAATTTGCAAATGATAGGTTTAAAACCTCTAGCTGGAAACATTGGTGGTGGGTTTTTTTTTTTTCATAGAAAGAGACCAAGAAATGGCATAGGGTGAGAAAGAATACAGAGCTAAAAACACTGGATAGAGTTCAGACTAAGTAATAAAGGGGAGTCAGTTTGTAGTGGAAACAAATCCTGCAGGGAAAAGCTGCAGGTATTCACTGGTGTGACACTCACTGGTAATTCTGTGCATCATCTGCAGGCTTCTACTTTTCTCAGGAAAAAAATACTCCAATTTTGATAAAGACTGCATGTGTCACACTAACCAACTTAGGCTATTGGTCCCTCTCCAGCACTTTTTCTTTTCTCCTGGTATTTATGAAGCTTTTATAAAAGCTTTAGAGATAATCTTTAACATTCTACAAATAAATATGAGGTGGTCCCTGAGAAGTGAGCAAAAGCCACAGGATATCATCTAAAAATTATCAGAATTTTTTACTCTCCAAGGCAAATGGGTGACTGGGAAACCCTGAACTTGTAACAGCTCTTACAACAGCCCGGGTCTACACTCTGTCACATGTTTCTGTTGGTGCACATATCCAAAGAACCAGCACACATGACAGAGCTACTGACAGTTTTGCTATCAAATAACATCTTTGCTTATAATTCTCTTCATAAATAGCATCCTTTGCCTCACATAACCACAACAGTTCACTTATCTTTTTGTTGTTTTTTTTTCCACACCTCCTTCTACTCCTTTTAAAATACAGTTAAAACACAGCTGTGTTTAAGGCGGGACCCACTGTACTGCCTTAGACCTGAGACACTATCTTGCTCCTCTGCATCAGCAGCATGTTTTCAAGAGGAGCAGTGTCTTCTCAAAGTCAGGGCAGCACTGCTTTTATTTAAATGAGGTAGTTCCTCAGGTCCATTACCAGAACAGTTACACATGCCCATTCACCAGTTACAAGTCCCAGAACCATACACAGACATGGTTTTTAACTAACAAAAAGTTCTGGTCACCTTATCATTCCTGCTGCAGTCACTGACACCTTCACACTGAAGGCCACATTGCCGCACACACTACAATTTCCTTCATTAATCTCCGTTTGTTTCGCTTTGACCTTAAATGATGTGAGTACAAGCTTCAACAATCCACAAGCTCTCCTTTCAGGCTCCAACAGCTCTATCTTCTTCAGCCTATGCACCATGTGAAGTGGAAGCAGCATCAGCAGGACAGAAGATCCCCTGTCACCAGTAGCAACTATATCAGGGCAGTCTCCTGCACCGCCACAGCCTCTTTGGCAACACCTAAACAAGCTCTTTCAATATGGAAAGCACCTGAGTACTTTGAAAGATTAACCCTTACTAGCTGTGTCTCCTAGCCCAGCTGTACTGCCTTCTTGCACCCAAGGTGAGCTTGTTAGCATGCAGGGGCTCACTGAGTAAAACACATTAGTTGACCTATATAACAAATGCTCACCTTCATTAATCCTCCTAGATAAACAAAAACTGGATTTACAGAGCTTACAACATTCACCAGACCATGATTCTGGTGATCCAAGTCAAATTATTTGTTGTCAATGGACAATTCCATGGAATTTCACAGTGGTTTGACCTATCTTTTTCTCAGGCTCACCTTCCTTAATTCTGTCATTCCTATGGTAACTAACTCCAACCCAGACTCACCTTTCTTACAGCCTGTGATGAAAATGTATTCTTTTGGTAAGGCAGAAATCTCCCTCAGTGTCCTGGTTTAATTAAATTAGTGAGCAAATGTGAGAGAGGATCAAGCATCCACTGCTGCTGAGAAGAGCCGTTACACCTGGCAAATACAAGTCTCCTGGGCTGCAGAACAAACTGTACCTGCCGCTTTACCTGCAGATGGGTTTTGACATCTAGCTCTGCACACTGCCTGTTGGACTGGAATTATAGAGAACTACGGAGAAGCCAGCAACACTTAATACTGAATTAAGAGCTCTCTGCTGTTTTCTATTAGTGTATTAGTCAGATAAGGTACAGTACCTTAAAACCATTAAGAGGAGAGAAAAAAAAATAGAGTATACAGTTGTCTAACATAACATAACTGACAGCTTTGAACCAGGATGCTGAGGGAAAAGGCACAACCTAAACTTTACTGCCTGTCCTGCCCCACTCCCCAGCCTATTTTTAGGCTGTTACCTTTTTTCATTCCATTAGGAATTGTTCCCATAGCACGTAACTGTTGCCAAACAACACTGTTTTATTTTCAGAAGCTTTCAGGTGCTGATCAGTCTTCTAATAGCCACCATGTTCTGTAGGCAACTGAACAGCATGTTAAAGATGTGGTACAGGCCTGATAACAGAATTTTCATCCTAGTGTATTAGTTAAGAAATTCAGCCTTATTTCTTTCAGCTTTCAGAATGAGCTCCTGGCCTCATGACAACCATGCATACTTTTGACTGAGATACTAGTCTTATCATATAAAAAAAAAAATAGAACATTAATTATAATATTCATATAATAGTTTCTGGGAAGTACAATGTTACCAGAAATGCCAAAGGACTTTGGCTTGACCTCATGAATTTTAAGTCAATAACCAAAATTGAATATAAGTGCTGAAGTGTCATATGCTTGTTAAAGGCAGAAGTTAAGACTTGAAAGCCAAGCCTTCAACCCTGACTGGTCCATGAGTCAGGGTTTCTCAGCTGAGCCACATGGCTCTGGAGCCCCAGGCTTGCAACAAAACATTTAGGGATACACTTGTGGTGTATCTGAGTACAACTCCCAAGGCAGACCTCCGAATACCAGCTGCTTGGCCATCCTCTAGTGTACACACAATATCAGCCTTAAAATGGACTCCACTTACTAGCACTATTATTCTGGGAGGAAAGGAAAAATAGGATTATGCACTTCTCATAAATGTTAAAATAATCCCATAAATTTGAATGAAATGATTTTGTGTGTGTGTGAAATTGCCTGCAACACTCTGCCATGCATATTCTTCCTCTAAAGGATTATTTCAAAATTATGGACTCAGAAATGTTCAGCTGGATAGTTCTTGGGTGGTTGAGGTGCTCACTGAAGAATTTAAATGATGTAATAGCTATTGAACACCCCATTATATGGCTGCCTAATTAATGTGAATGATAGTTATGTCTCACTCACAGAGGATTATTGTACACGGAGGAAAATCTACTCAGTGCCACAGTAGCCATTTTGATAGTTTTTATAGGAATGGTTGCATTATGGCTTCATTGAGTAGAAGGTAAGTAGCCATCCTAAATAATGAAGATTGAAGGTTTAATAGTCCCAGTAAAGAATCCTGCAGGTTTTTTATTTCAAAAATTAGAGTTTGATTGCAAGCATATGATAATGAGATGGAAAAGAGAGTTGGCACGTGGAATCCTTCTGCAGCCCAAGCTCCTTGGGAACTTCCATTTCTTCTGTAATATATATTTCTTTCTTAAATATGGAAGAATAAGGATAGGAAAAAGAAAGAATAAATAAGCTTTTCTTTATTTTCCATGACAGTGTGTCCAAGCCTAAGCCTCTCCCTGTGGCAACATTTCAGTGGATAAGGATATACTGCATTGTGTCTGTTACATTTAGGAGGCTGACACTACTGGAACAACCTCATACAGTTGATCATGTACACACAAATACTCTCAAATAATGTGAAGAGCCCATCTTAGACCCACTGATGATATGCAGACATAAGGCAGCCTTACAAATTTGTCACAGAGTTGTAGCTTATTGCAGCAACTCTCTTTTGTGAGGCAACAATCAAATGACTCAGCACTTCTGTTACAAGACCCTGTTTGCAAAGTTATATATCAGAGATTATAACTGCTATAAAAATTCAGATGGGATTTAAAACTTGGCATGAACACCCTCACTTGGGATCTAGTATGTTTTAAGCTAATCTTTGTAGGAAAAGCCAGAAGTTTACTTGTTCCACTTGTTATTTTAGGTCTCTGTTGCTACATAATTCTCAGTCTGGATTCTTATGTGCTCCCCATCACAGTACCCAAGTAATCTCTTCCCACAGCTGCATTTTCAGAATGGCAGTTCAGAGCTAGGACAATTGATTTGACATTTGTTTCTCCAAACAGCAGACTTCCAAGGCGGGTTTTAAAAGAACTTCTGTTCCAAAGCAGACTCTTTTTTTTTTTTTTTTTTTTTAGCGACAAAGCACCACATGTGTTTTAGCAAGTAAAAAGTGGCAACAGCATTAACCTGAATTATGGTAACAATGACTGCAAAAAAGGCTGGCTGGAAGCACATTTGATTTGCAAACAGAATCTCCAGATGTCTGCAAAAGATCCGATTTATCAAGCACAATCCAGGCAGGATTTGTTGTGGGTTTGTACTTCCTTAAAGAGGTCTGTAGAGTTTATTTAATGTTAGAGTTGGTGAAAGGTGCTACCTTGTGACTTCTTTCAGAAAGGTGAGTATATCCCTTTAGAATAATCCACAGGATACAGAGAAAGCCACAGACCCTAAAAATTAAAGCTTAAAATCACCAATGAAATGGAACAGGATGAAACTGAATGTTAAATGGGGGGGGGGGGGGCGGAGCTCATAGGAACGCGGGACAGCCTCAAGAGGAAACTTCAGGTAGCACCAAGGGGAAGCCCAGTGCACACCCAGCTGCAGGAACAATTTAGAAAGGATAAATGCAAGCCATAGAGGATATAATCTTATCAGCACAGCCTGTGGCCATTTAAAATGCTTCCCTCTGAGGGGGGCTTGAAAGTACCCCACTGAGGAATAAAGGCTAGTTCTATCTCTAGTTTCCACAGCCTTGCTGCTATTAGGGATGATTTCTGTTTTATGACTCCCTGCCATACAGGAGCTGGGCTGACATGAGCCCACTCTTTCCAAGCAGGTCTCCATACAACCCTCACCATGGATAACTGCTGCATGCAAATAACTCACCACTCATGTTAGTGGAAGAGTGGCACAAGTACAGGCAAAAGCAGTGGGACCATTAAATTTATGTTCCCACACCCTCAATCTCACAGGTCTGCCATGCAGGAGTTTGGACTAAGAACTAATAATTCATACAAACAGTCCCTTATAACCTAAGCTCAATATCTAGGGTGACAAAAAAAAAACAAAACCCAAACATACTTACATATGTCCACTGAAGTAAGCCTCTATACAAATGCCATAGCATGGGGAACAAACAAGAGGAATTAGAGATGTGGGCACATCTACGGGGGTATAATAGGTATCACAGAAACATGGTGGGATGGCTCCTATGACTGGAGTGTTGGAATGGAAGGTTTCAGGCTCTTTAGGAAGGACAGGCCTGGCAGGCGGGGAGGGGGAGTTGCCCTTTATGTTAGGGATAGGCTGGAGAGTATGGAACTCTGTCTGGGGACAGGTGAGCAGATAACAGAGAGTTTGTGGGTCAGGGTTAAAGGGAATATAGCTATGGGAGACATTACTGTGGGGATCTGTTACAGACCGCCTGATCAAGGACAACCTGCAGATGAAGCACTCCATAGACAGATAGGAAAAGCCTCACGCTCACAGGCCCTTGTTCTCATGTGTGACTTCAACCACCCTGACATCTGTTGGAACGACAGTACGGCCCAGCACAAGCAATCCAGGAGGTTCCTCGATTGTGTAGAAGACAACTTCCTTCTGCAAGTAATAGAGGAGCCGACAAGGAGAGGTGCCATGCTTGACCTCGTGCTCACCAACAGGGAAGGGCTCGTTGGAAATGTGATGCTCCAGGGCAGCCTTGGATGCAGCGATCATGAAATGCTGGAATTTGAGATCCTCAGGACAGTGAGAAGAGCGTGCAGCAAGCTCACTGGCCTGGACTTCAAAAGAGCAGACTTTGGCCTCTTCAGGAACCTGCTTCGGAAGGTTCCATGGGATACAGCCCTAGAGGGCAGAGGGGCCCAAGACTGTTGGTTGGTATTCAAGGATCACCTGCTGCAAGATGAGGAGTGTTGCATCCCAACCAGAAGGAAGTGCAGCAGGAGGGCCAGGAGACCTCCTTGGGTGGATAAGGAGCTCCTGAGGAAAATTCAGTTGAAAAAAGAGGCTTATAATAAGTGGAAGCAAGGACAGGTGGCATGGGAAGAGTACAGGGATGTTGTGGGAGAAGCTAGGGACCAGGTTAGGACAGTTAAGGCTCAGTTAGAATTAAACTTAGCTAGAGGTATTAAAGTTAACAGGAAGGGATTCTACAGGTACATAGCAAATAAAAACCAGACTAGGGAGAACGTAGGCCCCCTCAGGAAGCTCTCGGGAGAACTGGCTACACAGGATTTGGAGAAGGCTGAGGTTCTGAATGACTTCTTTGCCTCAATCTTCACTGCCAAAGGCTCTGACTGCACCACCCAAGTCTTAGAAGGCAGACGCAGGGACTGTGACAATGAAGACCTTGTGCCCGCTGTAGGAGAGGATCTGGTTTGAGGCCATCTTAAAAATCTGAACGTGCACAAGTCCATGGGTCCTGATGAAATCCATCCATGGGTCCTGAAGGAGCTGGCAAATGAAGTTGTGAAGCCACTGGCCATCATATTTGAGAAATCATGGCAGTCAGGTGAAGTTCCCGACGACTGGAGAAAGGGAAATATAGCCCCCATTTTCAAGAAGGGGAAAATGGATGACCCAGGGAATTACAGACCAGTCAGTCTCACCTCTGTGCCTGGCAAAATCTTGGAACAGATTCTCCTGGAAATCATGCTAAGGCACATGAAAAACAGCAAGGTGCTTGGTGACAGGCAGCATGGCTTCACTAAGGGGAAATCCTGCCTGACCAATTTGGTGGCCTTCTATGATGGGGCTACAGAACTGATGGACAGGGGTAGAGCAGTTGATGTCATCTACCTGGACTTGTGCAAACCATTCGACACTGTCCCACATGACATCCTTGTCTCTAAATTGGAGAGACATCAATTTGATGGATGGACCACTCTGTGGATAAAGAACTGGCTGGATGGCCGCACACAAAGAGTTGTGGTCAATGGCTCAATGTCCAGCTGGAGACCAGTAACGAGCGGTGTTCCTCAGGGATCGGTGTTGGGACCGGTCTTGTTCAACATCTTTGTTGGTGACATGGACAGTGGGATTGAGTGCACCCTCAGCAAGTTTGCCGATGACACCAAGCTGTGTGGTTCGGTTGATACGCTGGAGGGAAGGAATGCCATCCAGAGGGACCTTGACATGCTTGTGAGGTGGGCTGATGCCAACCTCATGAGGTTTAACCATGACAAGTGCAAGGTCCTACACCTGGGTCAGAGCAATCCCAGGCACAGATACAGGTTGGTCAGAGAAGAGATTCAGAGCAGCCCTGCGGAGAAGGACTTGGGGGTGTTGGTCAATGAGAAAATGAACAAGAGCCAGCTTCAGTGTGTGCTCACAGCCCAGAAAGCCAACTGTATCCTGGGCTGCATCAAAAGGAGCGTGACCAGCAGGTCAAATGAGGTGATCCTGCCCCTCTACTCTGCTCTTGTGAGACCTCACTTGGAGTATTGTGGGCAGTTCTGGTGTCCTCAACATAAAAAGGACATGAAACTGTTGGAACAAGTCCAGAGAAGGGCCACGAGGATGATCAGGGGACTGGAGCACCTCCTGTATGAAGACAGGCTGAGGAAGTTGGGGCTGTTCAGCCTGGAGAAGAGAAGGCTGCGTGGAGACCTCATAGCAGCCTTCCAGTATCTGAAGGGGACCTATAGGGATGCTGGAGAGGGACTCTTCACTAGGGACTGTAGTGACAGGACAAGGGGTAATGGGTTAAAACTTAAACGGGGAAGTTTAGGTTGGATATAAGAAGGAAATTCTTTCCAGTTAGGGTGGTGAGGCACTGGAATAGGTTGCCCAGGAAGGTTGTGAATGCTCCATCCCTGGCAGTGTTCAGGCCCAGGTTGGATGAGGCCTTGGGTGATACGATTTAGCGTGTGACCCTGCCCACGGCAGGGGGTTTGGAACTAGATGATCTTAAGGTCCTTTCCAACCCTAACGATTCTATGATTCTATCATTCTAAGTTAAATAAGTTACACACATGATCCATGTTTTAAATTTTGCATTTATAGTGCAATACCTCCTATTTGCAATGACTTGCAACCAACACTTCAGGACAGCACAGCGTCAAGATGATTACCTTTGTTTCTGGTTTGTTGTGCTGTTTAAGAGTTTTTTCTTAAGCAACAAAGTTGGGGCAATTATTTAGGATTACTTAGAAAACCCATGGCTTACCCAGAGAACAATAACATCTTCTAGTTTTGAACAATGACTTACTTCTATTTAAAACAAAATGAGTTACTAATGTGAACAGATTGAGTAATCAAGCTCACTTAAGCACGTGCAGTATGCACCGTAACAACATTCACTGTTTGTTGAAGTAATTAACCAGCTTTATTTTCTTTTAACTTCTGGCAGTCTTCCTCATAGAACTGTTCATTCCTGCTTCTACCCAGCTAGCATTTCCATGATGTATCATGAATTTTAGCTACTTTGCCAAATACATTGTTGGGGAGGGGAAAAACAAAGAAAAACATCCTACAGCTATAAGCAGGAGGCAATATTAGCACCTACACAGGCACCAAGCTTTGCTGGTACAGTCCACACTCTGATCAAACACTGGTTTTGTAAAAGAAGACAAGGCACTTTTTGGGCTACACACTTAAGAAAATGTTTCAAATTACAGTTTTCTTCCCATGCAGCAGAACGGTTGCAGCCTCAGGAAAACTACATTAATAACTTGTGGCTTGGATCTGTGGCAATTATTATTATTATTATAATTTATTATTGTTGTTGTCGCTACTGTTTTTGTTTTTGTTGCAGCTAACGTAAGAATGCTATAGAAATCGCCTCACCTCCTTCTATTCCCAGGTCAATGCATTTTGCTCTGGTACCAGAAGATGGAGCCACATGCTCACAGTTTTAAAGTGATTCCCCCCCCCCACCCCGTTGTCAGTGAAAAGCTACCCATGGAGTAAACGGTGCCTAGAAACTGCTCCTTTACCTTACATGAACTTGCCTTTTTACTGTGTCTATCCGTACTACTAATCTGGTGCATGTCTTATCCTATGTCAGCTGCCTGTCTCAGATGTTTCCATAACAACTGCGTTTTCCTTACTGTAAATGTATTTTCTAAATTGCCTACTGTGTTGAAATAAAAAAAGCCAGAACCAAACTAAGCCAGGCACTTCCAATTATTAAAATATCACAATTTTCATTTCCTTCATGACTTTTAAAGTAAGTCATACATGTCCCAGAGCCATCAACTTCAGACTCTTTACTCTCATCTTGTTAAAGGCTAGATAAATGCAGATATATGATGTCTGCTGTGCCCTGATGACAAAAAATAAGTGCTCAGATGAGGGAATAGGCCAGATTTGTACTCTGTAAACCCTTCAGTGTTGCTGCAGGCACTCAGCAAACTGCAGGTTTGATGCAACTGAGGCATGCCTTCGCCTACTCCAGCAGTCCACAGCTGCCCAGTGTGTCTGGATGCCACAAGGTAGGGCACGATTGTTTCTTCTGGCTCTGTTCAAGGCTAATAAACCCCCTGTTCTGCTTCAAAACCCACTTGCAAAAAACCTCTAAACACAAAGAGCCCCAGACAAAATCAAACCAAACACTACCAGAGCTGCTCCCCCCCAGGCCCTACTCTGGGGCAGCTCCGATGCGCTGCCCTGCAAATGCATCCGGGCTGTATCAGTGCCAGTGGCAGCTGCTTTACAGGCAGGGCCGGCAAGGAGCATTGCTGACCCTACCGCAGCTGCACGCTGAGGGCCAGTCAAGTCTGACAGCGAGCCTGCTAAACCCTGCCCCCTAGCCAGCAGTGCGTGCTTCTCCTACCGCATACAGCCATCTGCGTGATGCATTAAGATGAAAAGAGCCCTTGTAAAATATCATACATCTAAGGGGGAAGAGAAACTATCCGTTAAAGGTACTAAAGCCTATTAGGTCTTTCCTTTGCTGGCTACTTGCTCTGTCAGCTGTACAAGCAGTCCGTCCCAGAGTGTCAGATCAAAGCAAAATAATGGCATTCCTAATAAAAGCAGCAGAGATCTTTCAGGTAAAAATGTTTATTGTTCAAGAACCCTGACAGGTCCTTTCATGTCCTTTCCTGACCTGCCAATGTACAGAACTGGTTTAAATACACAGACTTAATTATTCTTTTTGCTATGCTTTCAGCCTGACCTCAGGCAGGTGACTAGATTTCCTCTCATTCATTTCCTTAGTACAATGTTGTAACCACTTTGTACAATGTTGTAACCTCTTTGTACCAAACCACAACACTAAATGTCTCTCTAAAGGGACATTTAAAATGAAGCCAGCAAAACAGTCTAGCAGAGTGGTTCACCAAACATACCATTTATTTTTTACAAAATCTAAATACGGAACAAAGCATGCTGCTTCTATGACCCTGAATGCTGCAATGTGCTACCAACAGCAGCTATTCATACATGGCCTCAGCTCCCACCAGTCCTTGGGCAACCACCATTTGATAGGGAAAACCAGAAGGCTGTGTGTAACAGAGTGTAGGCCACAGCAGGTGAGATTGACACAAGTGTCATCTTCTAAGCAGAGCCTGTAGGCACCACTGGAAGGCTTTGGCATGTGAAACAACTAGAGTAATAGTTACTACTAATTCTCAGCTTATATATAAAAACATGTACTTGCAGGCTTATCTCCATCAATTACTTAAAGGCACCCTGAGTGACAAATCTGAAGAAAATGTCATGCCAACCATTTCCCCTTCCCCTCTCCATTTATTGCTGTGGCCAAAAGCCCAGTTACACCTTTGGCTACCAGCAATTTGAAGCATTCTCTCTAGCACTTCCTGTATGATTTTTGAACAACCACTTAAAACCTTGGATTTGCTTTCTTTGCTTGTAACATATCAACAGTGTTCAAAGTCCTCAGGGGAGCACTACATCTGGGGCTATGAAAGCACTCTGTAAAGGTCTAAGGGAGCTGTGGGTTGGGATGCTGACACATGCCTCAATATTAAAAAGGACTTTCATGCTCTCCCCATCCACAGTCTGGGTTCTCTGCAGGCCAGCCACAGCCACAGTCAAACTGCAGGAGGTGGAGACCTCTGAGCCATGCAACCAGCGCAGGCAGAAGTCATCTATACACCAACCATGCTTAATTCAACCAGACTACAAAATCCACAAAGGACACCTGTGCACCACTTGTAAGCTACATGTATCCCAAATACATCACCTGCACTGCTCATGCTCTCTCTGCTCAGAGGAATTAAATTCCCAGGAAGAAATACAGGATACCTATTGTAGATCTGCACTGAAAGGACAGCATGCTGAGGAAACCTCCAGGAGGAAGCAGAAAAGGCCACACTGTTGATTGACTATTACATCTGCAAGATGGATGAAAATTTGAACTCCTTTGTAAGGAGACCAAACATATCACTTAATAAAAACAAGGCATCCTACGATGAACCTCTCTTTCCCATATTTATTCCTCTCTAAACACAGCAGTGCACAGATTATAGGAAATGGTTTTACATTTAACTTCAACCCCAAGTGGTAAAGAAACGGATTGTATCTCACAATGTAAATTTGCATGTACCATCATTTAATGGATGTTTTATACATGCTATGTACTACTGTGTTTTTATGGAAAGGCAAAAAAATTACTTGGGAATTTGTTTTTAATTAAGCAATAAGGCTCAATGGGGTACTGCTATCATGCAATAAAACCACTCCTAGGGTGTTGTGAGGCATTTGGTCCAGATGAGTGCTCCAAATCACCCCCAGATTGTGATTAGATGATTACTCCCTGGAGTTAATATTAGATGGTTCTCTCTAGAGTTGTCTTATTGCTATTATAAAAAGTCTTCAATACGGGGAAACTAAGTAGCTTTTGTGCTTGAAGAAGTTTGCAGTTTCAACAGTTGAGTGGCTGTCTGAGCTGTGTGGGTCCCATAGATCACTTATTTAGCATGCGTGAAAGATCATCTGAGCACATTTCTTTGACCCAAACAGTTTTACAATTAAGCAGCTTTCTTTTTTCTAGGAGACGGAAGGATATAAAGAGCAAACAGCTCCAAAATAAAGCAATCCCAAGACAAGGCACTAAGGAATTTGGTACTGAGATATGTATTACTGGCTTTATCTTTTTGTAGGGAATAATGAATCCTAATCATTATTATGCTAATTGTATTAATGAAGGCTAATGCATGCAGTAATGGTAAGAGATTCTCCCAAGTTGGGTGCATGAGGAGGTACACAGCCTGAGGCATTCGTGAGGGCTCCCAAGCTAATGAATTCAAACAGCCCAAATGATACAGAGCCAAACTGCAGTGCTTTCCCCTGTCTCCCCCCAACTGCTCTTCAGGGTTGAGGTTGGAGAAGAAATAGTTCATTCTGAGGAAATACAAAAAAGGAAAAATACAAAACAACCAGAAGACAAAACCCAAGGCTTCCTGCCTATTTCAGTACACCTGCAAGAGAAACATGATGAAAACTCTTGCAGGTCCCTTCCACTCCCCCCAAAAAAACAGGATGGTAGAGCATGCATGTGGACAATTTTTGCTCAGCTTTAGCTGAAGTACAGAGGAAAATCATAGAACAGTTAGGGTTGGAAAGGGCCTTAAGATCATCTAGTTGCAACCTCCCTGCCATGGGCAGGGACACCTCACACTAAACCATGTCACCCAAGGCTCTGTCCAACCCGGCCTTGAACACCACCAGAGATGGAGCATTCACAGCTTCCTTCCTCAACTCCTCCTTCAGATGTCCCTCAGCAGTCCCACACACACCTCCTATTACATAAAATCTCTCCAGTTTCTCAAGCAGACAACAATTTTCACACTTCACAACTGAAGGTGTGATCCTTCACACATCCTGCGCCCTAGCCTATATCACATCTCACACCCTGCACAACCCAGGCAGCAATACACTCTCTCTCTAAAAGCCAATCAACCTTTTCCACCTGGTAAGAAATACCCATGGCTCCTCCTTCAGCTCAGCACCCCTCCATTTAAAGATCCAGCATGGCAATGGATGAGGATCCCAGCCAAGCTGAGATCTGCTCTCTTGTTTCCAGATCAGCAGAACACCTTGAAAAAAACACACCACCTTTCTATTTCTCTTGTACTTGAAGAACACAAAAGGAAACAAGGATTTTCTTCCCCCCCCCTTCCCCTTTCCCAGAGCTCTCTGCACTATGCACTTGATGCATAAAATTTCCCCAGGCAATCACAGCAGATGCCTTCCTGCACAAAAGGCATTGATGTGGGGTGAGGCACAGGACCCTTACAAAGAGATGATTTTTGCTTTCAAAGCAACACACACACACTCAGCTTGGGTTCCAAAAGAAAAGAGACCAAAGCATGTTCTTCACATAAATAGAAGCTATATCCATGGGCAAAGCGGGGCTTATGAATGAAACCCTTTCATGTGTCTTTGACTAATCAGTCAATCATAGGTGAACACATTTACATCTTTTCAAATTAACTAATGATTATCACACTCTTGTTCCTGGTGCTTTTCCCCCACTTTAATATTTGAAATGCCTAATCTACCTTAGTTTAGTGTTTGAAATAGCTAATTGCTCACCATGATTTATTTTGTGCAATAAAAACACATTCTGAATATGAGATCACTGTTTAAACGGAATAGCAATAATAGGAAAAGAGTTCAGATGAAGAACATGCACAGAATTATGTTACTCTGGAAGGAAGGCTAAGCCCACAAGATGCAGTACTCTCTTCACATCATGCTGCAAAATGCTTTCAGAAGCTTTTCTTAGGCACACCTCTCTTTTCCACATTATTTTCATGTGTTTTTCCTTTAATATTATAATCCTCTCTGCACATAATGCCTGCACCTTCTCACAGTTCTGGCATTTCATCTTCTTACTCCACATCTTTCTCACTTTTCCCTTTCATATTTTGACTAGAACCTGCTCCCATTACTGGGAAACACTGCTCAGAAATAATGGATTGGCAGCATGCCAATCCTACTGTTTGTCAGTACCTATTCACTTCTCCTGCTCCTCTGAAAAAAACAAACTTCTGAGCTTTCTCTGCAGAATGTCCCTGTACTGGGCAGTTCTTGGGTGCTACCTGGAGACTCACAGAGACAGACCCACTTGATCAATCCACTCAGAAAATGAAGACGAAACTCAAACTGTTAAGGGTGAAAGAAGGCGTGAGTTAATGACACAAACTGAAAAAACTGAGACTAAGTAACTTGGCACATGGTGTGGTGCTCCAGAAGACAGGGGAAAGGCTGCCAGTGTAGGAAGTGGGGGATGTAGGGGGATATTCTTCACAAGGCAGTAGCATCTTCCCAGGCCCAGGACCAGAGGTCCAGCATGCCCTCCTGACATCCACCACACTGCTGCACACTCTCTGCTTGACCCCACAGCATTAATCTGTGTAGCTGGTTTGCTCATAGTTTTAAGTTTCAAGTTTTAGCACTGCTCACAGTATACTGTCACACAGAACGGAACGCACTGATGACATCATATGTAAAGAACATTTCAGTGATGAAATACCCTGAGTATTTTATAGTTAAGAAGGGGGATATAAATGGAACTACATATTACATGCTGATCCAAAACATAAATTAGAACTCATACCAAGCTTTGGATCAGATCTTCTAACCAGTTCTGTGATTACAGTTACAGACCACTACAAATAGAACAAGCTATGAAAACCAAAATAGGCTTAGCAGGGAAACCCCTAACATTCCTCTTTCACCACTGCTATTTTTTGAATTTAAAAACTTAAGGAGGAACAAGCAAAATACCTTATACCTTCACAGCACTGAGATCCACAGACAGCTGCTTAACACAAACACCAGTATACAGCCCATAGATAACACTGATTTCAAACCCTTCTCATAGTGCAGATAACCACATCTTTTTTACTGGGGACAATATCTCCCCTTCTTTCTTTTTTCATAGAAGCCAGCCTACAGCAAATATTTATTATGTAGGTATACACAGCATTTAAATTTAGCCTCTGTTGTTTACCTGCTTTGTTATTATTGGCTGTTCAAGACTTCAGTTCCAATTGTACCTGAAGTCCATGCACAGCACTGCACATATGTGACCTGCAGATCAGGGCTGGTCTGGGCAGGGAACACAAGGCACAGCAGAGCAAAGGCTCTTATGAAACAAACCTGCAACTTTAGAGTCTGCAAGTACGAGTGGTTTTGTGCTCCTTGCACATGACCGCTTTAGTAACGAACACTGAGGATTCCGATCTGGGACATGACCCTGTGGTGGGGCACACGGGGACATGAATCAGGAGCTCTGGAGAATGTTCCTCAGCCTTCCAAGTGATTCACTCTGCACAAGAGCCTGTTGCTGCTGAAAACAATAGCAAATAACCCACTATTTCTATTTCAGTGATCAAGCTGCTTGTGACTGTATGTAACTCTCCAAGTTTCAGTTTTATTCTCTGTGAGAAGGGCAGAAACCCTCACACTGTTATTAGAATTCCTGCTGCACTTTGGGATCCTCAGAATAAAGTGCTGCACGCATGCAAAGCACAACAATGCTGTTGTAAGTACAAAAGCACATCGATTGCATACTCCTTCCTTACACAAAAGGCAGAAAAAAAGTGGGTCTCAAGTTTGCGTCCACGAATAGTTTCATCATTCTGACAACCACTTTGTAGCCAGGCTCCCAGGAATAGCTCAAGAAATGGGTAACTGCCTGTACATGGGCTGAGAAAAACTCTGAGGACCCAACTACCCTCTGAAAGGGGTTTGTCTGGCAGCCATTCTAAGGCATGGGAATCAGTGGCATTTTGGAAACTGACAGTCTGAAGTTGCAGTCTGAACTGAAAGAGCCAAGCAGGGCTCCGATTTCTGCACATCAGATTTGGAAGCACCTCATTCCTAAAGCATGCAAATGATGCTGGTAGGGCTTCAGAGACACAATTCAATCATGGCAATTCTTGTATTTCTAAAACAGGCTGATGAGCTGAAACCCCCAGGAGCCAGATCTGACAGACACTCATACCTCCTTGCACACTGTGCTCTCACAGTGCACAGGACAGAGGTTATTCCTGCTTACAAGTAACCCACATAATGAACACATGTTGACTTATTCGCTCATTAAGTAAGAAGAGCATTCCAAGCTCAGTTCAATAAAATCTCTGTAGCTAAAAGCTGTCTTGTCCACTGATGAAATGCCCCATGTAGTCAATTAGTTAAAACAGTTGTCTATCCTAAGATCACAGTAGGCACCTGACATCACAAACTGAATCTCAATATTGAGTTTTATTCAAAATAATTTTATCAAATGCCTGTTTGGTTTGCTTGCTTTTTTTTTTTTTAACATGCAGTGAGCTCAGAATTTAACAGATGTTTTTGTTACTAGTATAAACTAATCTTTTCCTGCAGGCTATTGCAGTAATTTTGCCACTAGAAGATCATAAAAAGCCATTTTCTCCCCTGCAGAGCTTACCTTTGGCTGACTCAGCTGAGCAGCTGCAGTTTCTTTTACTTGCTTTGAAATTATTGCATCCCAATTGGGCAAGATGTTTCTGCTACTGAGAAACAAGTGGGTTTGGAGAAAATGCCAGAGGCAACAGATCAGATAAAGTCTCTTTACCTTGCTCTAGTTGGATTAAAAGCTGGTAATTTGGGCTGCAGCTTTTTCAAGTAAACCCACAAATGTTTCACTTTTACAGTCAGGAAAAAAGAGCTCCTGACTGTGCCTACTGAATAGCTTTTAAGAGTACTGGTTAAACTCTAAGACTGTATCTCAATAAGGCATTCAAACAAGGATGTAATGGCTTCCAAAACAGGCAAATAAAATAGCAACAGAAAGTCAGGTCTCCAGTGTGACTGCTTACCACTGACTACATGCACAGCATATACCTCGAGACTTCCCTCACCTCATGCAACCACTGCCTGAACACACCTCTGCTTCTGACTGAAGATGGAGAAAGTAGAAACAACCTTCAAATCCCAGCCTGTTTGGCTAGCCCAACACTATGTTTGGCCGACATATACTGATTAGTGACCAGGTGAGCGTACTGATGAACAACAAGAAGAATAAATCAACTCCACCTCAGTGGTAAAGACTATGATTAGCATCACATGAGAGCAAATGCAGGACAATTTTAGCACATAGACAAAAAACAATTTAAAACTAATAACCCTTGGCTAGTTATATCTGAGTTATTCTGGCAGCTAAGACAAACTGTTATATTTAGTTCAGTGCTTTGTATATTTACAGTTAGCTTTATGTATGTTGAGGATTCATTCCTAAACTGGGCAGATGTCCCCAGAGCCAGAAGACCGCTTACAGGGCAGCCAGGATGGAGACGGCTGGTGTCCAAGCTCAACACAAAACAGCTCCCAGTTGTGACAGCTGGTCTGCAAAGGCTGCGCCCTCATGTCCCACACTAAAGCACTACCAATAACCTGGAACTCCCAGCTCCACCAGCAGCCTGCCCTCTGTGGTTTACTGAGCTCTTCTGACAGCCGTCTCTGTAACCCCTCACCATAAGCTGCCAGGGAGCTACACGCTGCAGTTAGCTCAGTCCATGTCCTCGTCTACCTGCTCATCTGACACGAACATAAAGTATTAAGAAATAAGGTCTTGTAGAAGCTCTAATGACTGCCCAAGCACTTCAGCCCTGAAGCGCACTACGAGCTTCCCAGCCCACATTATTATTACCAAAGAAAACAAAAACCTGGGGAAAAAAAAACCCACACATTTTTAACACCTTGACAGGTCCATCAGCTCCCATTAAAAATAGAAAACCCATTACAGACAGTGTGGAAGCACCTGAATTATACATCAGCATGGGCCATGGGAGCTGAGGGGTGTTTAACAGAGCCGGGCGCAGCCGCAGCGGGTGCTGAGGGACGCGGCCTCCGCTCACCTGCCCGGCTTCTCTCCTGACAGCGACGCACCGAAGGGGCGGTCGGCGGCCCGTAGCACACGCAGCCACCACAAGAGATGTCCCTGGAGCGGCCCCGGGTGGGCACCAGCCCAGGCTTCGGCTAACAGGAGGCGGCCGGAAAGGTCTGACGGTAACTGCGGGGACAGCAGTCACAGGCACCGGGCAACAGGCACCGGGCAACAGGCACCGGGCAACAGGCACCGGGCAACAGGCACCGGGCAACGGCTCCTGACACGAGAAGCGGCGGCCACGCGCACCAGCCCTGAGCCCACCCGCCCCCACGCCAGAGACCGCTCTTGGGCGCCCTCTAGCGGCACCCCAGCGGCACCCCAGCTGCCCCTCACCGCCCAGTCCCTATCCGCCATTTGCAGCCGCCGTGAGAGGGGGCGTGGCTCCCCGCGGCACGCCAAGCCCTACCGGCGCCCATTGGCTGTCGGGCTCAGAGGTAGGCGGGACCTTGTGGTGGAGCGGCGGGAGCGTGGCTCGGCCGTTGCGGAGCGGGCGGCGGTTGTTCGCCGGAGGTCTCCAAGGCACTTCCACGGAGGTATGGGGACCACGGCGGGGCTTGGGGCTCGGCGCGGCGGCAGGGAGGGTAGCTGGTGCAGAGGAGGAGAGCTGTGGAGGAACCTAGGCTTTACGGCGCCGGCTGGTGCGCCGGGAGGTGCCGGCCGCAGGGCAGCGAGCTGGCTCCGCTGCTCCGCCCGCTGTGGGGGAGGCCGTGTTCGCCGCCGGAGGGCCTGGCCCGCCTGCGTGTCCTTGTCCCGAGTGCGGTTCTTTGCTTGCGGGGCAGCCGATCTGCGGCACCCCGGTGTCTGGGCGTGGCCTGAGCGCCTGGTAGAGCGCGGATTTACAGGGTTTTTAGAAGGAGCTCTACCGAGTTTGACCACGTAGCAAAGCCGAAGGGATGATCCCGCTGCGGAGCTGTGAGAGGAATCCCCACTTTTGGCCACGCATCCCTTCTGAAAGGCTCGTGGGCTCTCAGGTGCTGGGAGAGACAGAATTCCTCTCTCCCCTCGGTGGCACTCACCAGCCAGCCTATGTATGTCATTTGTTAAGAGCCCGTGCCCAAGCCTGAGGATGTAACAGGTGGCCTTACTACATGCTGCTATGTGAGTCCCATCAGCTCCAGAGCTCCCAGTGGATGTCTGTTCTTGTGGTCACTCACCGCGTTGATGCTGAGGAGCGGCAGTGGGGAGGAGGAAGTGCAGGTGGAGCAGCGCAGTGCTGCACTGCCTGAGAACGGGTGAATGGACAGAGAACTGGGCAGAAGGAGAGGGTGAGGCTCTTCCCTGAGTTTGAGGTTTTCCTTCCTTTTGTACAAGGCTGATGGACACCTCTGAACCTGCGCAAGAGCCACAACAGAGCTCGGACTGCTGGTTTGGGTATCATCAGTCTGAGCTCCTCAAATGCCACTGCTCAGCTGTGCCCTCACTGTGGCCCTATGCGACACAAGTCCTGGGTGTGCTGAGCAACAGTGGCAATAAGCCCTGTTTGTCCATATCCTACTAGGACTGGTGGCATTTCTTAATCAAAGACCTAACGCGACAGTCAGTCACAAAACATACATGTACTGAACTGCCTCAGGGGCACAGCTGGAAGAGGGTTGCCAGAGCCTGCACCCAGCAGCCCTGCAATTACAGCCTGCCAGGAAGGAGGGAGAGGCAAGCTGAAATCCCTTCTGTCAGCAAAAGGACAGGAACTATGGTTTTGTTGCTCTAAATGCCTGCTGTGGCTATAAGGTGGCTTCATCCTGCTTACTCTGCTTGGTGAGGAAGATCTTACACCGACCTTAACTCCTGGGGAGACTTCTCAGCTGGGCAAAGCAGAAGAAGGGAGTAAGGAAGAGCTGCAGAGAGCTGAGGTGCAGGGCATTTTCTGCTGACAGACCTTGGCGGTCAGATCTCAGTGCACGCCATTACGCCCATACTATCCCTTGCATGTGGTATGCAGTAGGTATGCAGTGGATATCAAGACTGTCAGTTCTGTGTGACAGCAAGAACAGAAGAATCGGGTAGAACAGCTCACTACATTGCTATGCCCAAGCCTCAGATACAAACCGACTTGAAAACATACCCCAGGATCCCTGATCCAGGAGTTTCAGTTGAAATGCTTTGCCTGGCATGCATCAACATGGCTGCTTAGAATCACAAGTGAACAAGAGCTCATTGTTTTAAAACATGGCTTGCTTACTTCTGAAGTGGACTGCCAAATAATATTCTTTTTCCTATGAATATTAGTCATATTCACAGAGTTATATATTCACTGCATAATACTTGATCACATGCAGAACCAACAGATCTTGATGAGAAAAACAAACCCCAAACTTTGCCATGCCAAAAACTCCTGTGAAAAGTAGCACATTCGTAAAGTACATCTTCACACCCTCATGTTAGCTCTGTAATCTTCTGCTGCATGTGACACACGTGCATATGTATCCCTTGGTAAAAAGCACTGTGACCGTGCTGACCCGACAGGGCAAACTTGAACAAACAGGAAAGGAAAAGAGATTAAAATTTGTATTCTTATTTTTACTTCTTACCACTGCTGTTCCACTGCTAGCACTTCTCTTTGAAAATAAGCTCATGTTTCCTGGCTCTTTGCAGGCACAATCTTTATATCTGACAAAAAGTTTTCAGATATAGGAGGATACCTAGAAACAGAGTCATGTCAAGCACTGTACATGCTTGAAAGGTTGGACCATGCTTCTAAAATATATAAAGTAAAAGAAGCAGGCTGAGAGCTGGTGCTCCATAACCCAGAAATATGAGGAAGTGAGACTGGTGGGAACAGGATTAACTGCTTTTTATCCCACTTGGTGTTGCTGCTGCCAAAAATTCTTGACAGTATTTTGTTGCATTCACAGTCTTTCCACACCAAACTTCCCAAGCCGTAATTTCAGTTTTTCTTTTCCTTTATTATTTGGTCTTTCCTTTATTATTGGTCTTTCACTCAGCAGCTCTTCATCCATGGATTTGTTTATCAGAAACCTCCCAAAACCACATTCCAAGATAGATGTGACTCTGCGTATTCACGGTCAGAGAGTTTAGTGTTCAGTTGTAGAGCAGTTTGCCCTGCCTATTTGTTCTTCAGTCTTATTTGTTCATTTAAGAGGGAGAGAAAAAAAAAACCACCACATGGTGCATTGTTGTAATTCAGAACAGATTTGGATGTATGTCCTGCAGCAGAGCAGCTCCCTTCCATGCTCAGGTCCACTTGGGCTGACACATCAAGGAGAACAGAGCCTTTCTCCTCTCCTGACAGCAGTGATAAATCCCTTTCCACAACTTCTGCATGTCCATACTGAGATCGCAGGTTGGTTGAGGCATTTCTTCAGCTGCTGCTGCTTAGGGTATCAGATTCCCTCCATCTGAGCATTTCAGTTCATTGTAAATTGTCCTTCACACTGAAGCATACCCATATGAGTGGATATGCCTAATGCTGTCCAACTCCATCAAATCCATTCTGGTGCTTCAAGACCCTGAGGATGCACATCCTTCCAGAAGGAAGCTGGAGGCCTTGGGATCCTCCTGTTAGTTCAAGGGGGACCTCAAAGAAGCCAGCTTTTCAGGAGCACTGGCCACTCAATACTTCTCTAGTGTTTTTGATTTCTGCAGGGTAGGTCACTTCATTTAGGTCTCCCCAGGCTAAATCTGCATCTTAACTTTGTGCCTTTGTACCCTCTCCTGCTCTAGAGAAGGAAATTCTGGGAACTCAGAGGAATTAAGAGGTCTGTCTGCCAGCTAGCTCAGGTCAGCTGTAAATAGCATGCGGCACCCTTGAGCAACAGCTCTGTGGTTTCCCTTCTAGCATACCAAAGGGATGATTTGGGGTGAAGGGCAAGGGAAGAATGCAAATTATCATTGTTCTAAACATACAGGATCAGTCATGTTGTCCTCCTCTCCTTCCCTTTCCCCTCCAACGTCCATGGCTCCAGGGACTCTGGACAAGGAGAACAGGGAAAACCATGGGGAAACAGCTCTGCATCAGTGATTCAATGAACTGCTAACAGGAGCCAGGGGGATACACATCCCTGTGACCTCGGAGCTGCCTCGTGATGGCTGAGCTACCTCTCTGGAGGAGGAAATGACTCAGGTTCCCGTGGCCAGCTGGCCTCAGGGCAGCACCCTTCAGTACAGGAGGGACTAGGTGCAACAAAACCAGCAAGGAGCGCTTTCCTCACTGCAAACTACTGATAGCAAACAACTGCTTTCACTGCAGAGGTACACTTATCTAAAAAAAGCCCCAGCAGACTATTGACACCTGAGACTATGTGAGAAGGAGGATGCAGAGGTGTGGTATAGATGAACATGCTTCAGCAGAGATCAAGCTATTTTAAGAATAACATGTCTTTCAAGTGGAAGCACCAGCAGCCCCGATGTAACTGTGGTAAGGGAGGAAGGGCTTGGCTTGCGTGGATTTATTCCCAGAGTAGGTGCTTCTTCCATTTTTTGATTTTTTGTTTGTGGTTTTTTTTTTCCCCCCTTTTTGTCATGCAGGGAGGACCAGAGGGAACAAGTGATCCTGCACTGGTTTGTTGCTGCCTCAGCTGTGGCCCCAAACATCATTGTGGGGTTTGTGTGCTTTAACTAATCCTTGAGAAAGTGGGTGTGCAGTCAGAAATGGGAGGCTTGTTCCTAAGACCATAAATCTCCTCCCTGAGCCTGCATCCAGACGAGCATCAGTTAGCTCCCAGCACCAAGAGGGATAAAAGGAGGGGTCCTGGTACCCTTCAGCTTATGTAGTACAGTAAGTACTTATGCCTGCATAAGAGCAGGTTCAGACCAAACAACTTTCTTTATGGTTGCACAGTTATGCTAGTAAAAAGCATGGCTGTGA